GGCGGCGGGGCGAGCCGCGAGGCGGGCGGGGGACCCGGGCAGGGGGAGGCGCCGCGCGAGTTGGCCGCGGCGGAGGCTGAGGGGGCCGGGGCGCGGGGAGGGGTTCGCGGTGGCGGGATGCGGGGAGCCCGCCGGCCTGGCGCCGGGGAGGGCGGCAAGTTTGGGGGCGCCCGAGTCCGTGGCAGTGGTGAGGTTTGAGGGGTACAGGGATGGAGGCTGGGGTAATGGGGTTCAGTTGAAGAGATGGCGCTGCGTGGGGACTTGGCAGGCAGAGGTGTGTGGCACGGGGGAGATCGAAGCTGGGGGCGATCGTCTGGCAGAGAGGAAGCTGGGAGGTTTGGGGGGCTGTTATCAGAATGGGATGGAAGTTTGGGCGCATAAGGGGGGAACTGGAAAAATGGAGACATGTAGGAGGCTGGGGTTTCTGGAAGAGAGTGAGGAGTTTGGGGTGATGGTGTTGGGGCAGGGTAGAGAACATCAGAGCTTGGGGTGACAAGGAAGGCAGGGAGGGCCGTGTCCAGGGCTAAGGCAGTGGAGACCGGGTGCTCAGTGGGAAGACTTGGGCTGTGGGATCCTGGAGGTGGGGGGGGCTTCCAGTAGAGCTGGGGGGAGGGTTCTTTGGCAAATAGAATGGGGTTGAAGGGGTTAGGAATACTGGAAGGAAATGGAGGCTAGACAAGGCCTTTGGCGGCCTTGAGGCCATGGATGGGAAGGAGGGGATACGGGAGAGCAGTCCTGAGGCGCGATGGAAGTGGGGGTGGGTGGACTCAAAGTGGGTAAGGGAATTCCAGGAATGGACCCCATCCTCAGGCCCTCCCATTTTCCTTGAGAATCTTTTTGAAGTCACCACTGATGGAACCTTGGGTCACAGGGAAGGGGCTGGGTGGCGATTAGGCCCAGGGTGTCCCCAAATCCCCAAGTGCCCTACCTCCCCAATCAGTCTAATGTGAAGACAGCCCCCGCCCCCACCCCCTAGGACCATGGGCTCTTCCTAACCCAGGCAGCAAGCGGCCTGCTAGTCTGCAGCTCCCAGGCTGGCGCCCCACAGTCCACCACCAGTGCCTTCTGGGCTCCCTCCCTGGCCCCCCTCAAGCAGCAACATCTCCCAGGACAAAGGACGTGGAGACACAGGGTGATTTTTGGCAGCTGAAATTGGGAAGGCCAGAGAAAGGGAGGGAGGCAGACTGGGAAACAGGAAGAGCTGGAGCTGGAGTCTGGATTGGGAGCCCTCAGTAGCTCTCCAGATTTGGGGTGGATAGAGGGTCCTTGCCAGGCCAGTCCAGCTGGAGGCCACAGTGGGCCCTGAACTGTCAGGATCCCACCTGCCTCCCGGAAGAACAGGAGGTCGACTCTAGCAACTCAGATTTTTGCCTCACCATGGGCCAGACAGCCCAGTTGGGAGTTCCCAAGAGCTCTAGACAGACTCCAAAGCTGGGAGACTGAGCTGGTCCCCCACTCTGAGCTTCCTTAATTGCTTGGTACTCCCTTTACCATCCTGCCGGCTTTCCTGGCCCTTTCCAGAGCCTCCCAGAGACCAGGCCAGCTCCTACCTCTGTGTCCCCTCCCCACTCCCTCCTGGGGATCTAGGACAACCCCTGCTCCTCCTCTCCACCCCCAAACTCTGTTCAAAAACTCCCCCTTCCCACTCACACCCACACGAGTTGTTTCCCCTCTGGTCTCAGTTCAGTCTCCCACAGGCCCTTCCCAAATCCCTTCCTGGCCGAGTTCTTCTCCCTAGTTTTTTTAACCGCTAAGGAATGGGCTAGAATGATGACTTACTAGAGCCTAAAATGAAGAAAAATGTAGTCAGGCCAGCCAGTGGTATGGTGGTTAAGGCAGCTGGATCCGACAGGTTGAGTACGTGGTTCCCGACTACAGTTTCAGTCCAGGACCCAGTAGCTTGAAAAACACATAGGTATGTGCATGACACACCAGGCAAGTGTGTGCATGCCCTAATTCTTCAGAGGAGAATGGAGGACTGCTATGTGGCCATCCCCCTCGGGGGTGCTTTCTCTCTCTCTCCCTGGCAAGCACACTGCACACACCCTATGTAGGGAAGGGTATGGAAGAAATTCCTCCCCTACTTAAGGGCCCAGCTACAGTTCAGCTGCAGGGAGCGCGCACACACACACACACACACCACCACCACCACCACCACCACCACCACCCCCATCCCCACCACAGCTCCCCCTCTGGCTCCAGCCCCCCACAACCTACTGGTCTCCAGGCAACCGCACAAAAGGAAAGTGGAGAGAGGGGCTGGGAGACCCAGGCTTGGCTAGCTGTAACCTAACCCAACCCAGTACCTGGGGGAGGGGGGTGGGCATGGCTGTCAGACCAGGCAACCTGGGAGGAAAGGAAGAACTGAGGTTAGCAAAGGTGCCTCGGACCGGAGTGGTCCTGCCAGCCTGGGAGTCGCTGAGGACCGATGGGAGAAAACTGAGAGGCACAGAGAAAAGCCCAGCGTGCCCGAGGGAGACAGGCCAGGAGACAGGGAAGCCCGAAAGCCGAGAGGCCCGCACTGAAACTAAGAGGCACGGGACGAGAGGGCCAGAAGCTCTTTGAACTGAACGAGGCTGAGAAGTCAGGGACCCAGGAAGGAGGAGAGCAGGCGGAAACAGGCCCTTTCCCATACTGAGCTGGTACCCTTTGAGCATGGAGCTGGGCAGGTTGGCAGAGGATCCCAGGACTAGAGCCGAGCCGGAGGGAGGCCGGAGGTGCAACCTTGAAATCCCTCCCCCACCCGGCGCCTGGCCTCCGGAGTCCTGCAGGACCTGGACTCCCTCTAGCGGCCGTAGCTCCCAACGTGCAGACCCTACCTGCTGGGACACAAGCGGTATCCAAGCCACTGCAGGAGGGCTGCCCCCTCCGTGAGCAGCTCAGGGCCAAGGCTCCACTGAGCTGAAGAGTTATGGGGGTCTCTAGCCTCATACTCCCATCCTCCCCTCGGTCCGACCCAGCTAAGGGGCCTGTTGCACACTCAGGTCCTGAACTGGGTGACTTCTCCATACCCCCCGGTGCTTCTTTTCCTCCAGTTCACCCTTGTTCAGGGGGTGGGAGCCGGGAAGTCCTGTCCACTCCAGAACCAGCCAAGATATGGAGAGAAGCCCAGTACGGAGCTGCCCTGCTCCACAGCTTTATCCCTTTGGTCAAAGACCCCTTGGGAATTTACCAACACTTTAGACCTCCTTTACTCCCAAAATACACACACGCACTATTCTTTATACTTGCAGCGTTTCCTGGACCCCAGTTTAAAAACCCTTCATTCACCTGGGTCCTAGGGCCAGGCTTACTGGGAAGGCAGGGGCAGCGTGGACCCCACCCAGCCAGGAGGGCCAGGAGAGACTCCCATCCTGCCCAGGTGTGTTCAGTTTGTCTTGTTGTTGTTGTTTTTGGTTTTTTTTGGAGAGGTTTTTGCTATAGGGTGCATGCGCTCACCAGACAGACACAGACAGACAGAAAGCGAGAAATCACCCCCTAGGGGGGATGGCCACGCTGCAATCCCTTCTCCTCCATTCTCCTCTCGGGATCTTGGGCACGCACGCACATGCCCCCAGTGTGAGTTTAAGCCACCATGTCTGGGACTCGAACCACAGTCAACTACGTGGTAGTGCAGCAACATAGCCATTACACTAACTGCTGGTCCCTTGTCTTGCTCTTTTTTATGCCTTCCCAAGCTGTACCATGCAGCTCCACCAGCTTCTGGGTGCCATACCCTCATCCCACGTGTGGACTACAGTAAGACTCCTAAGACACAAGGACACACTGTGATTCAGACTTTAATGGTGGTGCTCATTTCAACGCCACAGAGGAGGTGGCAACCGTGGAACACGGCACGGGGGAGTGAGACGTTGCTCTGGTGCAGCTGCGGGGAGGATGGGGAACCTAGGGCAGGGGAGAGGCAGATGGGGGAAGAGGCCCCCATCTGGACAGACCCAGGCTTCTTTCAGCACCCACGAGGAAGGGATATTACCCTTCCCATTCCTCAAGACCTCCCACCAAAGTCATCTTCAGGACGGCAGCCACGGGAAACGGACACATAGTCCCTTCCGGTCAGGCCAATTTTAGGCCCTAGAGTTATGGGGAGATGGCTAATTAGCAGGATGAATGAAAAATAAATAAACAAATAAATAAATAAATACACTAAAGCCTTAGCTAGGCATGAGCACGGCCTGCACTCCCCTGCACCTCAGCCCAACGCACCATTCATGGCTCAGATGCAACACGGAACACGTGGGACAAGAGCAAAGCGCAAGTGACTCATGGCCCCTCGAAACACCTCACCACACCGACCCTGACGCTCCGTCACCGACGCCGGTCCTTCTTCCATGGACCTCCTTATAATCCTCATCCCCGTTTCCAGTTTTTGAGCAAAGAGAAAATAGAAAAGAGGGAGAAGTGGAGAATGTGGAACCCCAAGGAGTGGGGGCAGAGAGGAGGGGCGGGGAGATAGCAAGGGGTTGGGAAGGAAGCCAGGAGCAGCTGGAGCAGGGCAGTGGGGATGCTCTGGGGGCCGTGGGGCTCCAGGGACCGCAGCAGGTGAACTATCAGGACAGCAAGAGGCTCCAGGAGGGTGGGACGAAGACTCCAAGTCTCCAGGCAAGGAGAGGGATCACAGCACGCTGGGGTTGCGGAAATTATGTCCAGCGAAGCGAGCTTCATCTCCCAGCTCTTCTTCAATTCTGAGAGAGGTGAGCCGGAAGAAAACGATCAGGGAGATCCTGCCTCTCTAGGAGACCCCCCTCCCCCGCCTCAGTGGAGTCTATCCTGAGGGAGAAGTGGAGAATGTGGAACCCCAAGGAGTGGGGGCAGAGAGGAGGGGCGGGGAGATAGCAAGGGGTTGGGAAGGAAGCCAGGAGCAGCTGGAGCAGGGCAGTGGGGATGCTCTGGGGGCCGTGGGGCTCCAGGGACCGCAGCAGGTGAACTATCAGGACAGCAAGAGGCTCCAGGAGGGTGGGACGAAGACTCCAAGTCTCCAGGCAAGGAGAGGGATCACAGCACGCTGGGGTTGCGGAAATTATGTCCAGCGAAGCGAGCTTCATCTCCCAGCTCTTCTTCAATTCTGAGAGAGGTGAGCCGGAAGAAAACGGTCAGGGAGATCCTGCCTCTCTAGGAGACCCCCCTCCCCCGCCTCCAGCCACCCTCAGGCCTCTTGCTCTGGTGTCCCACCCCAAGGGTAAACATTCCCTGGCTTTCCCGTGAGACCTCTGGAATCCATCCATCAGGCCATCAGGAACCCATCGAGCAAGAACAAACATTTCCCGGGCATCTGTTAGCCAGGCCCTGGACTCTGGCAACCAGCAGAGCTTCTAACCCTGTGGGCCAGGGGCTCCCCTCGTCCGGTACCCTCACCTCATCAGTTGGTTGTACTTAGCCAGACGCTCCGAGCGGCATGGGGCCCCAGTCTTGATCTGAAACATTCCAAAAAGCAAGCAGCTCAGTGGCTGCCCCCCCCTCTCCTTGAAGAAGACTTCTGCTCTCTTGAAATTCCCAGCACCCTCAGACACCTGGAGGGAGAGACCCACCTGAGCCTGGAACCCACCAGTCCCACAAACAGCCCCTTTTGCTGCCCACACTCACCTGGCCTGTGCACAGCCCCACCACCAGGTCGGCAATGAACGTGTCCTCAGTCTCCCCCGAGCGATGGCTCACCATGACCCCCCAGCCGTTCTCCTGGGCCAGCTTGCACCTGCATCCACACACCAACGCTGACCCCAGCCCCTCACACCGGACCTCCCCACCCAGCCCTGACCTGGTTTGTGTCAACTACATCTAAAGGGAAGCAGTCTGGGAGGACAGTGGCAAATCTGGGGAGGGGAGCAAAGGGGAGGGCTGCGAAGGTGACCGCAGGCTCTCTGCTCTCTTCATTGTCCCTGGGCAGAATGAGGCTGGGAGCAACAGGAGGGGGCCAGGAGTCACTCACGCTTGGATGGCTTCAGTGACAGAGCCGATCTGGTTGACCTTGAGCAGCAGGCAGTTGCAGGCCTTTTCCTCCACTGCCCGTTCAATACGCTTTGGGTTGGTGACAGTCAGGTCATCACCCACAATCTGGATCCCCACGTTGGCTGTGAACTTAGACCAGGCTGCCCAATCGTCCTGGTCGAACGGGTCCTCAATGGAGACCACTGCAGAGGGAGCAGTGAGGAGACTGCTGATCTTCCCTGGGTGTCCACTCAGGCAGGGACACCCCCACCCTGGCTTTGACTCCCTAAAATGCACAGGCCCCTGACTAAGCCTGCTCCCTTGAGTAAGCCTGCCATGACTCTTATCCTGTTTCTAGTTCACAAAACCTCTGGATCACAAGGGTTCAGAACCTTATTCATGACCTAACACTGTATTTCCCTCTTCTCACTGCCAGGAAGCCCTTGCTCATTGCTAAGCTAAGTCCTCCATTCTGAAAGGTCTGTTTTCTCTTGCTCTGTCTCAGGAAGATGGACACCACCAACTGCTTCCATCCTGGGAGAGACTTGAGAGTTAATTTGGCTCCTCCTCAGCTTTCTTTTCTGCTCACACTCAGCCCCAGCTCCATTCAGCTTCCACAGCTGCACTGATCAAAGACACTCAAGTGTGCTGGTTCCCTGCTATGTTCCACCCCGTGCCTTCCAGGGCCCTCCCCAGGATCCCCGTACCTTTCAGGGCCCAAATTTAATCAGGATCGGATGCAGATTGTACAGTTCCAGACCCACCATGTTCACACTACAAAGCCCAGACTTCACAGGAGGCTCCTTCACCTGTCCCTGGCGCTTAGGCTCTTTCTAGGACATCTCTACCTGACACTTAAGTCAGCATCTCATAAGGTCCACAGTTGTCCCCAAATGCCCCTGCCCGTCCTGACCCTCCCACGGCCCTCCTCACACCCTTGCTCTCACCAGGATAGTCCCTGACAAAGTCCTGGTAGAGCGCCCCCAGCTGGTCCCCAGTGATATATCGGGAGGGATCGGCAGGTGACTTGAAGTCCAGGTCATATTTGCCATCACGGTAAAACTCTGAGGCGGCGACATCCATGCCAATGACGATCTTCTCCGTGTAGCCAGCCTTGTCGATGGCCTCCTTGACCAGCTCCAAGGCTGGGGAGGGAACACAGTGAGATCGTAAGCAGGAGGGGTGGGCCAGGAGGGAGGAAAAGAAAGAAATGCAGAGCACGAGCATGGCTCAGGTCGTTGTGGGGCTACCCCCACGTCTGGGAGGAGAGAGGCCCTCTTTTAGAAGATAGAGGGGTGGAATTCTGTTAGTAATAAACATCGACGGGAACCAGCAGGTGGCATGGTAGCTAAGATGCTGGACACTCCCACATGGCCTACCACGGTTCAAGTCCTAGACCTGGTGGCTTGCCTTCTCACTTTCCCTCCCTCCCTCTCTCTCTCTCTCTCTTTCTCTCTGTGTGTATGTCTCTCTCTGGTAAAATTAAAGTAAATGAATGATTAAATAAAATTAAATAAATAATTTTTTTAAAAAAGTAATCAACGTCGATTTCTTCTTTTGTGGTGCCACGTCACCCAAGCTCGTTAGTGCACACTCTCATGCACCCCTCACACTGATGCTATGAGGCAGACACTTGTCATTCCCATCTCACAGATTAAAAAACAAACCTAAGGCCTCGAGTCAAGACTCAAATAAATCCAAGCACACATCCTTAACTCTTCGCCCCTATGTGCAATTTCTCTTCACTATGAGGTTTCTTCCAGGGCCCAGAAAATTAGGGCTCCTGGAGGCCCACGAGGTTGGGAGGGGATGGGAGAGATTCAGGACGAACTCTGGAGCATGGGAAATCTCATCGCACTGGGACACCTACAGAGGTAAAGGTGGGATGGCTCCCACAGATCACCTGCTCATCGCCCAGGACTCCAGTGAGAACTGTTTTGGGGGGGATAGGTTTTTGCTATAGAGCACGTGCGCTCACCAGAAAGACAGACAGAGACAGACAGACAGACAGAAAGCGAGATATCATTCCTGCCGGGGGAATGGTCGCACCACAATCCCTTCTCCTCCATTCTCCTCTTGGGATCTTAGGCACATATGCACATGTGCCTGGTGTGAGTTTAAGCCACCGGATCTGGGACTCGAACCGCGGTTGACTACATGGGAGTCCAGCAACATAGCCATTATGCCAACTGCTGGTCCCTCCAGTGAGAATTTCAGATTCTGACAGAGCTGGCTGGGCAGGTAGAGACAGTCCCCTCAGTCTGTATGTGAACTGGTAGGTCCTCTGTGCCCATGCCAAGCTACCTCCTGGACTGCAGGGGTTCAAGGACCCACTCTCCTCAGGCCAGGTGTCCCAAGATAGAGTGAGATTCAGAGCTGGGAGTGGGGCTCCTGGCCTCACCTTCGCTGTTCTCCAGGATGTTGGGAGCAAAGCCCCCCTCATCCCCCACGTTGGTGGCATCCTTGCCGTACTTGTCCTTGATGACCCCCTTGAGGGTGTGGTAGACCTCTGCCCCCAGTCGCATGGCATCTCGGAAGCTCTCGGCACCCACGGGGAGGATCATGAACTCCTGCATGGCCAGCTTGTTCCCAGCATGAGAGCCGCCATTGATCACATTGAAGGCCTGGGAGCCGCAGGAGGACAGAGGGTCAAAGAGCCCTTCCCACTCCACCCCGGGAGCGTTCACCCAAGATCCCAGATGTCCCCAGCTTCCCGAACTCAGAGTCTCCATCCCGTCCTTCTCTTCGGCTGCCCCAGTTCACTTTCCTCCCATCAATCCTCAGGGGCGTCATGCTCCCCCCGCCCACCCCTGGGGAGGTGCAGGCATGGGCAGTGCTCACCGGCACAGGCAGGATGAGGTCTGAGTTCCCGGCCAGCTGAGCAATGTGGCGATATAGGGGCAATTCCCGCTCAGCTGCCCCTGCCTTACACACAGCCAGGGACACACCCAGGATGGCATTGGCCCCAAACTTGGCTGGGAGATTATAGAGGAAGGCACTAAGCAAAGATGTCCCCTTCCCCTTCTAGCCCCTGCCTCCACCTATACTCCTCAAATGAGCTGGTAAAGGGGATCCCCCTCCCCAGCCCAGCTAGATCTCATCCATTCTGGCCTGCAGACGGGGGCGAGAGGGACTCTCCGGGGGAAGGAGGAGGTGGGAAGGGCAGGGAGCCCATCTCTCTCCACGTTCCCTAGGCCAGACTGCTCACCCCAACACCCTCTTCTTAATGCTACAAAGTCTTTTCCTCTGTCTAATGTCACCCCTTCCCACTGCAGTTAGACTTCTGCTGTGGCTTTGAGAGGAGGACGGAAGATGCTCTCTGGCAGTCACTCCTGAGGGAGCCCCTCCAGATCTGTCTCTCCACACGGCCCACCCTCGAGCGGCCCACCTTCTCCCAGCCCCTGCTTACATTTGTTCTCGGTCCCATCCAGCTCCAGCATCAGGTTGTCCAGTTTCTCTTGCTCCACCACAGACAGACCCTGTGGGCAGAGCCCCTGTCACCCAAGGCCAGGCTACAGGCCGAGCCCCAGGGCGAGGTTCCCCCCCAAGTGCTCACACACAGGCTCACATCTAGCCAGGGTCCAAAGAGGCCCCCGTGACAGTGGACTGCCTAGATTAGGGGACCCAAAATTCTGGGGGAGTGAGGGGCAACAAGGAGTCTTCTCATCATCCTTCCCCTGTAATGATGCCTCTAAAAGGTGGACTTTTCTCCCTTCCCGCTTGCCCCCTCTCCCAGGATTCCTGCCAGGACTCCAGCCTGGTCCTGCCGCCCCCAGCAAAAAGCGGGCCTCACTGAGCTGATGAGGGCAGGTGCGATGGTGCTGTTGATGTGCTCCACTGCCTTCAGGACACCTGGGGGCGAGGAGGGCACGTGTGAGGAGAGGCCCAGAGCAAGGCGTGCCAGGAGAGGCTGGGGCCGTGCAGCAGGGGGATGACGCCACGGCTGGTGACAGTGCCTCACCTTTGCCTAAGTAACGCTGCTTGTCTCCATCCCTCAGCTCCAGGGCCTCATAGATGCCCGTTGAGGCACCACTGGGCACTGCTGCCCGGAAGAGACCTGGAGGGAGAAATTGGAAGGAGGATGGGTGGAGAAGGATGCAGGACCCAGGGATTCCCTTAGGCCCAGGGCCTCCAGTCCTAGACTCCTGCTGGTCACCCCCAGCTCTCCCCCCCACACTGCTCCCTAACACCCCCACACACACTCATACTGGGCCAGATGTGCAAGCAGCGGCCACCTCATCTGCCCATCTGAAGCCTGGCAGGCACAGGTGGGCCCAGAGTAGCTGTTCTGCTCACCGCCCCAAGTACGAGCACACACAGGTGCACGGGCAGGCGCTGCTCACCACCACAAGTACGAGCACACACAGGTGCACGGGCAGGGCGTGTCTCACAGCTAAACTAGAACACAGACCCGCCTCCCCTGGCTCCCCTACTCAAGGAGGTCCGTGCCCCACCGTCGGGGCCTGTGACCTGGCCCAGCAGCCCCCTGCTCTGCTGGCAGAGTCAAGAAAGGCCTCCCAACCAGGCCAACCCTGCGTGGGCGGAGGAGCGGAGCCTAGCGGTGGGAAGGCGCGGGCCCCGCCCATCACCTTTCGCAGTATGGAGGTCCACCTCCACCGTGGGATTCCCACGGGAATCCAAGATCTCCCGGGCCCAGATCTTCTCTATGGACATTGTGCTGGGATCTCCTTGGGTGGAAAGAAGGAAGCAGAAAGATGAAAGCCTTAGAGGGGCGGAGCCAGAGACAAATGGGCGGGGCCAGAGGCTGGGAGGGAAGGGGCAGTCGTAGGCTGTGGAAGGGATTCCCCCTCCCCCCACGGGGAGAGAGAAGGTCACTGCAGTGGGGGAGGGGAGGTCACTGCAGTGGGGGGCGGGGTGCCACGGAGGGAGGAGACGGGAGACCACCACAGTGCGGAGGGGAGGGGCACGACGTGGTTCCCTGGCCCCGCAGCAGCCTTGCCCGCCAGTGGGGTTCCCCCAGATATCAGAGCAGAATGGCTGCCAAGCTGGCATTTCTCCTTGGAACCAAGAAGGGGATGACTCGTCTGGACAGCCGGAGCTCTCCAGAGAGCCCCTTCCCACCTGAGTTAACACCCCAGCCTGAGGGTCCTCTGTCCAAGGCCCCAAGGGGCAGTCCCACCCCATCGGAGTGGAGTGTGCGGACAGGGTCCGCGGAAGGTCTCTGGGAGTTACAGCGAGGAGGCAGAGGGGTGAGAGACCCAGAGGGGAGAGTCAAGGCTGGGCCATCCTTCCCCCCGTCTCAGACAGACCTCCCACCTCTCCGTCTCCCCACTCCCGTGGCGCGCGCACACACCCGTGCAGCTGAGAGAAGGAGACGTAAAAGCAGAGGCGACGTGGGGTACGAGTGGGAGAGCGGGGTAGCTGGGGGAAGTCCGGGGAGCTGAGGCCGGGTGAGAGACCTCTTTCCAAATGCAAAGCGAAAGAGACATAACGGGATAAAAACGCAACGCGCAGCTCGAGAGTCCGAACTTCAAAATCAAATCGACAGAATTCGAGGCGCGGCCGCGGCCGGGGGCAGAGGAGGCAGGCAAGGGTGGAGAGGGGCGCAGTTAGGGAGAAATGGGTGCGGGGAGGGCTGGCATCTAAATGAGGAGGGGGAGACAGCCAGAAAGCGAAAAGGAGCGGTCGGGGAAGGCCGGGGGAGGAGGGCACCCGGGGAGGCGCGGGTGACGGAGCAGGTGCGCAGCGCGGATGGGAGAGAGATGCGCAAAAGCCGGGAGGGCGGCGGGGGCGCGGGGCGACGGAGGGGGCCGAGGGGCGCTGGGCCAGTCCGGGCTTCACCTCGGGCTTGCAGATTCAGCCGGTGGC